AAGTATGATTTATGTAAGCTGATAGTTCCTAGCAATATGTCTTTGGGAATATTATATTCTATTTTAGGTCACTTGCAAATGTTTTTCAGACAATTTTATGAGTAGAAAACAAAATTTTTTTTCTGAAAATTCGGTCTTCAAGCCCTTCCACGTAAAGGAGCGACGCAAAGCTGAAATGTGGGTGTGAAGCGGCATTTCATGCCTGCAAGTAGACATTTCCAGAAAATAGTGTCACTTGTTAAAGAAAAAAGATTATTATAGCTGTACTCGTAATAAATACACTTGATATTCGAACCGGTATTATAATTCTAAATGCGAAGGTGGTTTATTTGTTATCTAATCTACCGATAATCATAAAATTATACCTACGCGTAGTAACAAGGTATCACACTAATATTATAAAGGCGGAGTTTGTATGTTTATTACCTACTTCTTCACGCTCAAACGGCTGGACCAATTTAAGATAAAATTTGGTATGAAGGTTGCTGATCCCCTGGATTAACACATAAGCTACTTTTTATCTGAAAAAAACTGTAGTGTCCCCTTGGGATGAGTATGGGATGATAAACCGCGGGCAAGACGCGCGGTAGGAAAATAAATATTAGGCATATATGTTATTAGCTAGAAGATAACATTTCATACTTACGGATATATCTACTTTGTAAGAATGTCGAGTCTGATTCTTTAGTTAATCTTTGGCCAGTCTAGTCTAATATTAGTTGCGCGTGCGACGGCGGTCGTTGCGTATCAGTTTTAGTTTTTATTGTACGCCGCGCCGCGCGCCGCCGTCCGGTGTATTTCAGGAATACGCCGCTTTACGGGCGACCGGAGATTGGTTACCGATACCGATTGCGATGTCATGGAGATTAGAATTACGGTTTAATGGCTGTAATTGTTATGCTAGCTGTACAATTTACGATTGACAGTGTTCTGGCTTTAAAGCGATGATTTGTCGGCTCGTTCGTTATATTCATTAAGATTATAAATTGATATCCGTGTCAATGAACTCCGAAGGATTTTGAAGTGATCTCCATGCACGTTTATCCGAGGAATGACCAACTTTTCTTAACTACGTCGATGTCTTCCGCGTTGGTTATTACCCTCTTGAGACCCAGACGATTAAAAATTGACTGATTTAGATGAATTTTGTAATTTGAAACGATACGAACGATAAAATATTTATAAAATCTAACCCCTCTTCATACGCCAAAATAGGGGTGATGTCACCACTATTGTTTTTTTTTTTAAAGAAAACTCCCGCATTAGTCATTTATGTATATTCCTATGACTTTACAAACATAAATGAAACGGACTCAAATCAACAACTTGTGGATCCCACAAAATGATGTCCCATGTGTCAAAATGATGTACAACACTCAGAGCAGTAGGAAGCGACGTGGCGACCGCTTAAACCACTACGCCATCCGTGCAAAACTATTTTAATGAATTATAAGTAAATAATTCAAAGTTTTCTGGATCCAACTTGAATCGCTAAATCATTGTGGAGTATGAAAGACCAAAAAGCAAATGCGATGAGCATTAAAACAAAGAAATATGTTACAGCCTGATCATTTCGCAAAGGTCTGGTCTGGTTACAAGAGCTAAGCCAACATTATCTTAATGACTCTTTAAATGACCTTACACACGTCCGTCTGATCTTAAACTAGGCCTGCCTAGTTAAGATCATGATCAACAGGCCCTGACCTGTGCTATGATAATCAGACCGCTGACAAACACTACTCCTAAATACATACAAAATAAAAAATACTTATTATTATTATTATTATTATTATACATAATATAGATAAATTACATCCAAGCATGGTGGTACTCATCACACAAATATTTGTTATGGGTGGGTATCGAACCTACGACCTCTGGCCTATCAGTCAAGATGACTATTAGACCAACAATCTCATCTTATCCGTCGTATCCGATTATCCATCAAATACAATTATGTTTAGGTACACGGATAGCCGTGGTGAGAGCTGCACGGTCAGTCTGTCAAATTTCTTTTAAATAAAGATAGGATTTTTATATTGTACACTGTATTAAATTTAATCAATCTTGAATTTTAAAGTCCATGTTGTGGCGGATTAAGAATACGGAATGTCACCACCCCTATTCATCCCGTGGGTGTCGTAAGAGCCCACTAACCACAGCACTGCCAGGAGAAGGAAAACTTGAAACAAACTCTATATCAACCCGTCTGGCCAACGTGGTATAGTAGGCCCAAACCTCCTTTCTAAGGAGATGCCTATGTCCAGCAGTGGACTGTTTTAGGCTGTTGATGATGATGATGATGATGATCTTTAATTGAATGTTACCTTTAGGTATGTATGGTTTTATCGCTATACCGATGTCTGCCTTCAATACAAGTCGGATATTCAGACTGCTAAATGCAGAGCAAGTTTCATCCCGAACGAATATGTTGTGGTGAACACTTAGTTCACCTCGCCGCTTCCTACTGCGCTAAGTGTTGTGGGTTTGATCCCACATAGGACAATGTGACAGACAATGATCCACAAAATGTTGTACTAAGTCTGGTTGTTCTTGGTATATGTTTCATGTATGTCTGTGAAGTCCCTCGCGACACAGGATATATTTCACTAGTGGGGAAGTTGTCTTTTAAGAAAACAAAACTATCAGAAGAGTACACATAATAAGTATATACTTATTATATGAATATTCATAATGAGAAAAAACGCCTTATTGTTTTGATGCGACTTTAGGGTGATTCTACTGAGTCTTCCAACAGGCAACTGACTGGCAAAAAGCCTCAGGGCACTCAGTCAGGTTTTATTCGTGATCATCATGTTACAATCAAGATTGGACACACCTTTTATTAAAGAGAATGAGCAATTCTAAGCAAAGTTGACATTTCCAATACCTTTGATACTATAGATAAATAACACCCAGACCCACAGCAAATGATCGTGCTCATCACACGATATTTGCTCTGGATGGGAATCGAACCCGACTTCGACCTCCGGCTTAGTAGTAAGGGTCACTAACCACTAGACCAACAGGCCCGTCAAAATATATAGGTCTATATTTATGTTTAAAAATTCTTTCACCAATGGAAAGCTACATTGACAGCGAGTAACATAGGCTATTTTTTTACCGCGATAACCAACATACATGCGGGCGGAGCCGCGGGCAAAATCTAGTTATGAATATGAACGTTGATTTTGTCAATTCAATTCAAAGTCCTACAGATTTGATAAAATTGAATCCTTAAGAGTGTCTCGTATTCTTTAAATGTAATATTTCGTTCCCAGCAATACATAGATCGAGTGACTCCGACCTGAGCGCCTAGTACACATCTCCTCGATCGTGATGGTCACCAAGTTCGGCGCTGCGATTGGCTCGCAGCATCTACACCTATCGCACCGCCAATGGCGCTCGTTGTCGAGAGCGAGTTGATGAAAAATAAATTCGGACTAGGCCCTCAGCTCGAAGCTTATACACTCCACTCCTTCCATATTAGTAATAATCTTATTTCTCTTTCTTCTTTTTCCTTTAAAATATGCCCAATTTGCCGTTCCATTTCATTCTTTCGTTGCTTATTACCGAGTGAGTTAGATTACCGGAACCCTAAACCAATGGGTAGTGGTAGATGTTTACCATCAGGTGACCCGTCTGCTCGTTTGTCCCCTCCTACAAAAAAGAACTATTTTTAAATTGCAAAATGATCCACCCAAACCGGTGGAATTCACGCACTAAGCAAACAATGTTCTAGTTTTACAAATCCACTAAACAATAGCAACTCCCAAGCCGGCACGCGTTGCTTCGCTCCCGATATCTAGTCGAAATAAAACCAAGTCCACAATAAAGAGTAAACACAATTCAGCTGCTCAAACCGCCGCGACGCATGTATTTTTACCATCGCCAAGGTACACTCGAAAATAAAAGTGAATAGATAAAGGTCTCAGCGCACTATTATAACTACGATAGTGAGTTTATTACGCTTATAAACGTTAACTACTCAACTCTCAAACTATCATTGTTTTTAGTATTCATGTTGTTATGTCTGCAGAAAATTATTTAGGATGTCTTTCTTCCAGAAGAAAGGAGTGTTGTTCACAAAGGATATGTACATTGTACAGGCTGAAGTATCGAAGTAAACTTATTAAAAAATGGATAGCAAATTATAAAATACGATTTTACTTAAGTGTGTCTTTCGATGATAACCGACTATATAGCTTGGAACCCAACGGGGAACCTTTTTCACTTAAATATACCAAAATTAATGTGTATAATAAAGAATACATGTGGAATGGGAGGGTTAGGTAAATACCGCAATCCATGAACATAAGAAACATAAGTGCGTTACTGCCCTTTAGAAACAAGAGGGGTTGGGCGATAGGTGACAAAACATGGCTAACTTTTATACAATTACAATTTCATAAAATTGTTTTGCTCCTTTTAGTTTTCGATTCTCCAATTACACTAAAAGTCTAGATGTGTGAGCGTTCATACTTAACTTATTGTCCACATCACATCACATCAACAGCCTATACTAGTCCACTGCTGGACATAGGCCTCTCCTTAGAAAGGAGGTTTTGGCCTACTATACCACGCTGGCCAGACGGGTTGGTATAGGGTTTGTTTCAAGTTTTCCTTCTCTTTGCAGTGCTGTTGTCCTGCTTAGTTTGCTCCCTGAGTCGGCTCTTACGACACCCACGGGATGAATTGGGGTGGTGACAATTTGTATTCTTAATCCGTCACCAAACGGACTTGTCCACACAATAAGTTAAGTATGAACGCACACACATCTAACATACATTTTCAACGAGTGCCTATTACGTGCAGTCACGCATATTGTACGTTACACTATATTGAGCGGAGACCTTTACAATGACAAATACGTAGTGAGATACCCAGTCGGCTGTTTGTTTTACGTCATCGATTGTCCCGACAAATGGAATTCTCGCCATTTTCTTCGGAACACAATCGTGAACCTTCAGTTTATATGATATATCAAATTGTACTGAGTAATGACTGCACTCAGCAAGGGCGCTACAATAGTGCCACTTCGATCAGCTGTGGGAAGGCACATTTGTCGTAAGAATATCCAGACTATTTCATGTGCCTACTTAATTTTACTTCCAGTGGTCGAGTGAGCATTGACCCTACTAACTATAGAACTTTAAAATACATGAAAAAAATATATTTTATTTAATACTAGCTGAGACCCGCGGTGTTACCCGCGTTTGTTGTTATAACCGCGGGCAACGCCGCGGGGCGAAGCTAGTCTAAAAAAAGTCTCTCCTTATGTCATCAACTATCTGCTAGCTGCTAGCTGCAGCTAGCTTTCCATACCAAATTTCATTTTACTCGGTTTAGCGGTTATTGATTTCCTATACAAACTTCCCCATTTTCATCCCCTTAAAGTACAATTTTTGGGATAAAAACTATCCTATGTCCTTTTCCGGGACTCAAAATATCTCTATACCAAATTTCAACTAAATCGGTTCAGCTGTTTTTAACTCTTAACTCATATATCTTTATTTCTTTAAATTTCTTTGAACTCGTCTCTTTTGTAGACTCTAAACTCATAGATCAACAATCTCTGTTCTGGCAAATATTTAGCGAACTAAATATATACGTATCGAAAATCTCTTATATGCCTGTGCCGATCTACAACCGCCCATTTCCAAGGGGTTGAGCCTCATGAGAAGAAAGGGCAAACAAACTCGTTTACCTCGTACCAGACAGACGGACAGGCAGACACACTTTCGCATTAATAATATTAGTATGGATATAGCTAATAGGTATGTATATTAATGAACAATGATGATGATATACATATCATCATCATTTTTGTCCCCTTTCCCAATTTTATTTTGGAGTCGGTGCAATGTCTAACATAGTAAAACGGCATTCTGAAACACGCGGCTGCGTGCGGCCTCTTTGCGTAGCATACAAATGGCATAGCATGCTGCTGCACGCCATAGCACAGACGGAACAAATGCGATTCCATGCTGACAGATGTGGTTCAACCCTTATAGTTTCGCATTGTCCATTCGTCCGTCCGCGGCTTAGCTAAGAAACTCAAGTAAAGTGGGAATGATTTAATTATTCCCCGGCTATCAGAAGGCCAATTCTCGTAATAAAAATTCTGTCATAATTTAGTTCCGATCAACTTTCGATCTCACAAATGTCATAAATGGTATTTTAGTAGCAAAGTATTAAACATCCAACGTTTACTGTAATGTGATTATATCGTATTGTAACAAAAAATTGAAACCTTTATCTGCTAGTCTTGGTAATATTTAACTACGACAATACCTTTTGTAACAGTTCCGATATCGAGAGTTGATCGGCACTGAATTTTGACCGAACTTTTATTACAAGAATTGGCCTTCAGTATGTGAGGTATCATTCAATAGCTCAAAGATATTGGAAGGCTGTGAAAACTATTTTTTTAAATCATTGATACGTTTGCGAACTATTTAGTGATTATTTTTGTTCGAGTTGACCGTCAACCGGCCCTCCAAGGACTGTCCTTCTCAAGTACTGTTTGAAAAATCTAAAAAAAAACGTGATTTTTGGATTAAAGCAAAACTATAACGGTTAAGTTAGCTGTTACTTCAGAAGTAATAGTCGCCCAAGGTGAAACATGCGTAATTCATTTGCTTGTTAGTTTTTATGTCACTGATTAGTTTTTTACATCTCGTGAGCCAGCTTCTAAACGCCGTTAAACCGTGAAAATATAAAGCCACTTTCTAAGTCCGAATGTTGTAGCAATCGACTTCGGATCCCAACGCTGCTCGTGGCCTGACACAAACTTGGCCGATATTTAATATTTTGGTGTATGTATGTACAATACAATAAACTGTGAAAATGATTTACATTTAAGCAAAAACTGCCATCTAATATAAAAGTAGTGAACTATCACAAAATATACAACCTACTTTAACGATAGAGTGGTTTCTAAATAGTAAATATTAATATGCAGAGATGGCGCTACTAGTGGTTGTTTATAGTAAACCAATGTTGCCAATTTAGAGACCTTGTTGCGTATTGTAAATCTGAGACAATAAAAGTTTAGACGGTTAGAATAGTTTGTGACTTGATTATCTGATGACTTTTGGTTTGGAAATCAGAATAGTTTTGGGGCAATATATTTTCATTAATTTCTTTTGTTAATTTCTCATACCGATTTTTGTGTGTGACCATATTTACTCTCCAGCAATATTTGATATTTTTTAAAGTATCGATAAATGCAACAATTCCAAAACAGAAATATACATATCACAGATTTTCGATTTTTCATAATTAAAATTTTTGATAATCAAACAAAAAGGAATTGATAATTTTAAATGAGCTGCAGTTTTTCGAATATAAAAAAATGTAAAATAATTATGTACTTTGTAAACAAATTTTATTTTAAACATTTTTTTTAATCCAAGTTTGCTCAACGGGTGTTTATACAGTGTTTTATGTACACAATTTGTTACGTATATACAGTATTAATTTTTACATCGATGATGCGTTTTATATGAAAATTTTCAGTTGGTATATTATGAGAATAAAAAGTTCAAATGTGAAAGCAATTTTGAATGTGTAATTAAATTGTACCTTTGTTAAAACCGTGATCAAAAGTCTAAGATCTCCTTCACTCAAATACATTCACAACACTGTAAAATATTTTTCAAAATTGGATCATCAATATAAACGTTTGATTTTATGATTGCAACACTACGAATATGAATTGTCAAAAAGTTTAGATGAGCGCGGTCTCTCTTTCTTCTTGACATTTTGTTCAAGGCGAACGTTTGTTTTCGGCATTACACGTTTCGTGTCAAACGACTTAAAAGTAAGTGGAATTTTAATAAAATATTGATGTAATTAAAAAATTCAGTGTTTAAATATCATGTGAATGTATATTTATCTCGATGTTATTGTGTTTAGTGCGAGATTCAAATGGATGAAAGTTAGGATCATGAGAAGCGCGGTAAAACTTTAAGATTTAGTGCTATGTGAACTTAATTCTTCATTTTTAAGCTTTTCTTTTTATAACTTGACTTTGTCTCTTAATAGATTTGTTCGCTGATCAATTCTTTGAGTGAACATTTTACTAAGAAATGATATGATTTACCAATTTACATCCATGTGTCGATACTAGGTCTTCCTATAGTGTGGTTATTTTTAGCGATTTTATAAATGTGTTGAGTACATAACTACCCAGAGTACGTTATATGCACGTGTGTATATAAAAATTCTTCAATAATGCTTCAATGTTTTTATAACCTTCAAAATTTAGTCATTACTTAATCTAAGCATGTACTCTAAGAATTAGAACTATTGAGAATATTTGTTTACAGTTCTCAATAGTTCTAATTACTAATTCTCACAAGAATTAATTTTATTAGGATATTGGAGACGATAATCCTTACAAAAAACCTGTATGGTGTTTGCCTCTAAGTAAACTTGTCAATGTTTCTAGAATGCGTTACGTGGCCGCGTATTTACTGGCTGTGCTCGGAGGCAAGGCGGCCCCAGCGGCGTCAGATGTTGAGAAGATCCTGAGCTCTGTGGGTATCGAGGCCGACGCTGAGAAACTAAAGAAAGTGATTTCAGAACTCAGCGGCAAGAGTGTTGAGGAGCTCATTGAACAAGGTAAGGTTTTGTATACATGATATAATGTTACATCTGGTTGTTAGTATAAAGAATCTTTTTGTGTGGAATAATTTTACTAAACTTTTTAAACACTTGTACAAAATTTAAAAATAAATTATTTGTAATCTTTAGTAAATAAAGAAATTTGAGCTCAATAGTAAAAAAAAAACTATTTATAAAAAATAAACAAATAATTAGTAGTTCTTGGTTTCTCACATACAATCTTTTATAGTAAAACTTACAAGTTAGAAATTTTTATTTAGTTTTATTTAATGAAGTTATTATGATGATCTCAATATAACACCATCTTTCGACTGAAAGCCTGTGCTGCAATCAACCTTTACTGATGTCCTCTAAACACACATACCAAATGCTTTACTGTTAACGGCCTACTAATTATTTACTTGTGCAGGCCGTGAGAAGCTGTCTTCAATGCCAGTGGGAGGTGCCGCACCCCTAGCCGCGGTAGGAGCTGCTCCTGCGGCCGCCGCTGCCCCCGAGGCCAAGAAAGGTGAGTCATTGTTCATTACTGTGTTGAGAATTATTGAGACAGCAGTTTAGGTTAGGTTAGATAAATAAATGGTTGTAGGACTTCATTTTTCACTGTTATTTTTATTTTTTTAACTTATATTTTTTAAATGTATATCATATTTATAATGTTGTGTGCATATGAGCACAGAGATGTTGTGCATACTCATTATACGGACTTATTTATTATAAATGTATCTGGTACTAGCGACATTGTTGCTGTGGAATTTGGAAAGCTCTGCCTTAGTGGTGTAGTACCAGACGCGTCTGCAGTCCATGAGGCCTCAGGTTCGATTCCCAGACTATGCAAAATTTTATAGGGGTTTTCTGAGAGGAAAAATAGTCTTAAGTTACTACTTATATAGACAACTACCTGGTAGAATAAAATTATCAAAGTTGGTCATGCCAATCTGAAACAGAGACTTAAACGATATTTATTTGTATAGATATCAAAATTACACATTGCTATTGCAAAAAAAATGTGGTACTGTGACACCACACATTTAGTAAATTAGGTAGCTATTTTGTTATTTACATGTTGGTTCTATTTTCCCTTAACGTAAAAAATGCTTGGGAAAAGTGTACTTAAGTTTTTTTTTCTACAAGAATATGGTAGAGGAGTATTTGAAATAGATTTTTAACTGCTTTTATATTGCTAGACCATTAAAATGTTCCATTCGTTTTCTTTATTTGTAGGTTATAATGATGATTTCAAATCAACACCATCTTTCGACTGAAAGTTTATGCTGCAAACCATATTTGCTGATAGATTTCACAGAAAAAGTCTTTAAACCTTTTGTTATATTGTCTATTAATCATTAATTGTTTTATTTACAGAGGAGGAAGCCAAGAAAGAAGAATCCGAGTCTGACGATGAAGACATGGGCTTCGGACTATTTGACTAATAACACTATTGTGGTGAGTTTATTGAAGTACTGACTTAAACTTGATTACCATAGTAGTTTATTTTTTTATATTTGAGGAGGATTCCGAGCATGCATCCAGTAAGACTAAGAGCATAAAACCAAAACTTATACTTTCATATGCCTTACCTCACCTATTTCCAGGCTCATTTGTAACATATGATAAACAGGATGTTATCATAAACTTTAGTTTTCTACACAGTCTCACTGCTTATTTGACAGTCACATCGTAGCTAATAAGGATGCTTTTTTACCAAAGATGTGCTATACAGTTTGACGCTAGTTATCATTAAAAATAAATATCTCTAAAGTCCGTTGATATTCCTGTTCTACTGGTCTATCCTAATCCCAGGACAAACACATGGGTACATGATCTCAACCTTTTCGACCTTCTTTAATTTTAGTCCCATTTTCTATTTGAGACTTGCAGTATCCAGGGATACTGCAAGTCGGGCCCGTGCAGGCCGAGAGGAGCGCAGCAGAGAGGATTTTTGGGTCATGTGTATGCACTTCATATTAATCATTTTCGAATCTTAAAAAAATCCTCTACTACACACTAGCGGCAACACATGTCTGAGTTGCAGGTGGCCATGGGTGGCATTGACCTCCAGTCCGTTCCTTAGGCCTGCTACCATAAATATAATAGATTTTTATAAATTTTCTTGATTTATATTTAAAGTTTATTTTTTCCTTTGTTTACAGTGTACGCGGCGCTGGTCGTTATTCCATTTATGGTGTAAGCATAACATAATGCATATGTTTCTATGAAATATATTGCTAACAAACATTCTTTGATTTTTATTTTCCTTGTTATTGATCGAAAGACATGCGGACAATGTGAAAAATAAATGCATGAAAACCAATGTTAGTCCATCTTTTAAAAATTTGTTTTTAACAGTTAAGGCATTAAAATGTGCTGTTTATATATTTCATAATAATTAAGAAATTAACAAACGACGTAATTTGTCTAGTTTGTTAATTTAATAGATTCTGCACATCACTGTTTGGTTGAGGTTTCAAAGTTGTAGATTGCTGATTTGACCCTTGATTTAATAAACGGGATACAGGCCAGGCCCTCAATTCTGCTATTTTATGTTAACGCCAAGCCTCTCATTCCATTGACACGCTATTGAGATGCCACTGACATCGGTCAAAATTTCGGTATTCTACTCGCATAAATTCAGTGTCAATAGACTGTCTGTTTAGTAATATAGGTTATCAATGGTGATATCGACAGCATTGCCACATCATGTAAATTAAATATATCATTTTCTTACAAATTTAAAACGTACCGTTAACCAAACTAATACAAAGACATTGGTGCTAATTCTGTTGTTCAAAAACTCTCTCAACTAAAAATTAGTTAAGTCCTGTTAAATAACGTTTCCTATTCTGAAAACTTAGTATTTGACAGGACTAAACAAATTTTTAGTTAGATTTTGAGTTTAGTTTAAAGAGTTCGAATAACAGAATTAGCACCAATGACGACATTTGTACCTATAAGTGACAAATCATTGGGAGGCCATTGTTCTTACATAGTAGAATAAGAAAAGTGCAAAACTATTCCGACAACATTCCATCGACAGTACAAGATTAAAATAGCAGAATTGAGGCCCGAGCTTTAATTTAAAAAAGAAAAATTGACAAGTTGACAAGTGATTTTGTCAAAATAGTCGGGAAGGAAAAGTGTCAAGACACAATTTTGTGGCAAAAGGTCACTTCACTATAAGTTGTGACTTCTGCGAAAAGAGGATAATTAGGAGTAAAAAAAAAGAATATCAGAAAATTCCAGAACAAAGCTTAGGGGTCACTCGAGTACTTCTGTCAGAGCAAAATTGTGATGTATTTTCTTCGTTTGCAAATAAAAGTTCAAGTAACTTGACACCCAATTATTTATTATGTCACTATACATAACTTAATAATAACAAGCCGAACACTAAATTAAAATTATCTTTTTAACGAAGAAGGCACAAGACGAGCTGAGGGAATGGTCAATTTTTTTTTATTTTTACTCACTGATAGATAGATAGTTCCATAATCTTAGAGCGGTTTCGCACCACGTCCGATCAGAATCCGATCGAACCCGTGAAAATACGGTTCGAAGTAGATAGTCGTAAAACTATTTCTGTGGTAGTTTATGCACTAGATCCGACTTCATTCTGTTGTCCGTAAATCTCCATTCCAGAGAAGATTTAATTTGTATGAACGCATCTAGAATTCTTTACTTCCTTGTCGGTCGTACGTACAATAGTTTTGGCAGAAGTGAACGCTCTGCTGTGGCTCCGCGTAAAAAGCTTGGCAAGACCCTTGAATTGCTTGGATTAGAATCAGAGATCGCAATAGTACGCATCTAAACAATAAACGAATTCATTCAGTCTTTCAAATATGTAATCACGGATCATAAATCGGAGGTAGTAACAAAAGCTACTAAATATCCGAATTCAGCCCGAGATTTCTACATCCGTGTCATCATGGGTTCGGTTCGGAGGTAGTGCGAAACCGCTCCTACGGTTCTTAAGCCAAATTATTCCCTCAATGTATCAAGTATTGCTGGATAATATATAATTATAAAAAAAAATCTATGTAGGTATGTAATTTAATCGATTTCCAATTTCTTGAATGATCCTTCGACGGAGCCAAATATATCTGAGATGGTCTTCGGTTTGCCAGGCCGCAAGGACTCCACTACGCGTTTCTTATTCTCCTCAACGAAGAAATCTTTATTCGCATTTAATCTTGCTATCATTTCATCTAAAAGTTAAAAGTTCTTGGTTAGTAGATACAGTTTAGGTGGGTAGGCAGGAGCAGGTCTAAAAGTAGGCACTTTCAGGTCAGGCCAGTATTATTCCCTTACTTGAGGTGTGATTGGCGGGAACAGCGTGCTCGTACTGTCAAATGTCGACTATATTTCCAAAGAAGTAGGTACCTATTTCCACTGCCAGTCTATTTTTTAACATATAGGGGGCAAACTAGCACATGGGTCACCTGAGTCACTTATGACTACCGCAGCCCATGAGCACCCGTAACTCAAGAGAAATAAGAACGTTGCCACTAGACATGGAAATTATTGCTACTTTTAAATCATATTCATTTGATGAAAAAATTGGTTTCAGTCACAGTGATTTCGTCATAGTCCCCAAGATAAATGGAATTAAAATAAATCAAATTTTTTTTTTTGCGACTTGCGCTAGTCTAATAATAATAATTAAGTCGCAGTGGTATTGTAAATCGATGTGATATATAAATTGTATTGTAATTTGTTGTAATTAAATATAAAAATTGTAGTGTGCGTTACCCCAGCAAAATAATGTCGAAAATGGTCATTTAAACTTTATAGATAATTAGTTGCTCTCCTTCTGTAATTGTTAGGCACATTTTTAAATTTGTTTCACTTAAACTTTTTTAGTTATTTCAAAAAAAACATTTCCTGCTGGAGTAACGTTTGAAACGTTACCGCAGCCAGACATTTTCTTTTTTAATTGTAATATTGAAATAAATTTTAGCTAGATAATTAGTTATCTGGACTAGGTAAATGTTACAACTTATTTGGTATTTGTATTTTCTTCGGCTGCGAAGTTATTCGAAATCCTGCTGGAGTAACGTTTGTGGGTTTGCTGGATCTCTGAAACGGGTAAGCGGATTGTAACCATCTTTTGTACATAACTTCTTCAGGATTAGTTTTAATTTGTTCGACAATAAAATAACAAAAATAATGGACCGTTTAAAAATTATTTAGGTAAGTATGAAAACACTTCAATACGTCCTAACACTTTAAATAAGACCTCTAAAGACTTACTTCAAACGTTATTCTATTGCTTGTAACTACCTTCACATGTATACGAATTTTCGTAAGAATACTATAAGTGACTAAAAAGTTATGATGAAATGTAGCTCTCCACGTTCACGATCACAATGTGTGCGGCCTTTTTGGCCACCGATAAACCTGTGTGTGGATATATAAACTGAATGTTATGCCAATAATTAGTTGTTTAGTTCAGTTGTCTACCTGTAGAATTTCAGCGTCGTATATATAATAATTTACGAGATAATTAAATAAAAGTCATTAGAAGGTGCAAGACCGTGGTAACCCGACCATGTTTAGGTGGTTACAAAAAAGCGATCACCCAGTACATTGTGCTGGCTTTTAAAATATGTAGGATATTATTTGCAAGTTTACTACGGATATGTACATAAGTGTTACAAAAAACTACATGTTTTTTAAATAATTTTTATTTAGGATTGTTTTTTGCATAATTAGTAATCAGCCGGGAGATTAGGTATTGTTTTGAATGCTTTTGTTTTCTCGTAATGTTTAGGTGAATTGTTTATAGTTGTTCATAGAATTGGTACCTGCGTAGTATTTGTTAATTGAAGTTTAATTTTAGGGTAGGTATAGGTAATTTAAGTTTTGAAGAGTGTAACGTATGCGTTGTAAATAGGTATTTTGTGAATAGATGGGGATTTTTTTAAGTGATGAATCGACTTAAGCTAGCATATCGCGAACAAACTCTGTATTGCATTATTTCTGTAATAATGTTGGAGAAAATAAAATATTTGATCACAAAATCGCGGTGAGTTAAATTATAATAAAATAAATTATTTATGTAAAATTAGTAATAAGTGATATACCTACCTACAAGTTATGATCGTTTTTAATTTGTTCACCCTGAACGAAATTTCAATATTAGCATTAGTAATAATTATCCTAAGACAAGAATTGACAATTACTTAAATTGAATCGAATTAGCATTAATGCCCATTATTAGTAATTAGGTACACACATATTGAAGAACTCTCAAAAATACGATAAATATTTGCAAAAATAGAAAGCGGAAGCGCACACGTACTTTACAACACGTATATTATCTGCCTAAGGGTCAAGTTTAGTGCACTAGATGCAAATTGCAAACAATAAAGTATCCCTTCGCCCCTCCCCTTCCGCGTTCTAGCGAAGGATGTATTATCAGCGATTCTTGATTGACAAATATTATCTGACCAATAATTTTATCTATAAAAATGTATCACTTTCACTCGATAAATTAAATTACCGTTATTATATCAAAATATCATTCAACAACTGTTCGTTTTTAACAGAAATCAACAGTCACGGGCTCAACGCTTAACGGTAGGAACATAGGTACCTATAGATAATTCTCGGTTCTCGGTATAGACCACAGAACAATATTACCTACTCTTACGAGGTATACGACTGTTGGGCGATGCAATGTTGATGCATTCTAATTTACAACTGTATTCTTCTACTATTCGGTCTATTTTAACTTATTGTAGATGACTTGTTGCTTTAAATATTTTGATGCATTCAAGTCTAAGCTCTATACACCCCAAAATAAAATACAATTACTTTAGTGTTATTTCTTTACAAAAAAAAATCAAAGAAATGAAACGATTTCTTATTGGTTTAAATTTTCGATTTATTGCAGTCAGGTGAATCGTTCATACATGTATCTACATATTTATAATTTTAGCGGACCAGTGCAGATTTCCTGTTGATTGTAGCTCCTGTAGTAAAAAAGACTAAAGAAATTTTAAGTAAAGAAACTAGTGCTTAAGATCAATTAGGGAAAAAACAAAATAAATAATAGGTAATAATAATGAATAAATAATAATTTTTTGTAACCACCTAAACATGGTCGGATTACCACGGACTTGCACCTTCTAATAACTTTTATTTAATTATCTCGTAAATTATTATATGTACGACGCTGAAATTCTACAGGTAGACAACTGAACTAAACAACTAATTATTGGCATAACATTCAGTTTATATATCCACACACAGGTTTATCGGTGGCCAAAAAAGGCCGCACACATTGTGATCGTGAAAGTGGAGAGCTACATTTCATCATAACTTTTTAGTCACTTATAGTATTCTTACGAAAATTCGTATACATTTGAAGGTAGTTACAAGCAATAGAATAACGTTTGAAGTAAGTCTTTAGAGGTCTTATTTAAAGTGTTAGGACGTATTGAAGTGTTTTCATACTTACCTAAATAATTTTTAAACGGTCCATTATTTTTGTTATTTTATTGTCGAACAAATTAAAACTAATCCTGAAGAAGTTATGTACAAAAGATGGTTACAATCCGCTTACCCGTTTCAGAGATCCAGCAAACCCACAAACGTTACTCCAGCAGGATTTCGAATAACTTCGCAGCCGAAGAAAATACAAATACCAAATAAGTTGTAACATTTACCTAGTCCAGATAACTAATTATCTAGCTAAAATTTATTTCAATATTACAATTAAAAAAGAAAATGTCTGGCTGCGGTAACGTTTCAAACGTTACTCCAGCAGGAAATGTTTTTTTGAAATAACTAAAAAAGTTTAAGTGAAACAAATTTAAAAATGTGCCTAACAATTACAGAAGGAGAGCAACTAATTATCTATAAAGTTTAAATGACCATTTTCGACATTATTTTGCTGGGGTAACGCACACAAAATTGTAATATAAATTGTAGTTGCCACCCTTTTGTACTTCCTCCCCTCCCTCACAAGAGGGTTGGGCCTTTTTTTTTTTTTTTTTACGTGTGGAAATCCCCTCGGACCGTCACCCCGCCGGGGCTCTCGTTCGGCGGGGCGGTGTGTCGGACTCGAACCGACTAAAACCACACGGTGTGCCCTCTTTGCGCTTCCAGTTTAAGAAGGGTCCAGGTAGCTATCTCCTTCTGGACCCCTCCCAGCGCCGGCCCGCTCCTGACGCGGGCTCCGTCTCAGTGGACCCTCTCTTTAGGCGGCGTCCGGCACACGCGGACGCCGCCCCCTCGCGGCTGGCCAACTAATGCGGGTGGAGGGGAGAACCCATCCCGTCCACCCGCGGCCACACTCAGGGCGGCATGAGGCGCAGGTGAGCGCGCCTCCGCCGCCCGGTTCGCCGGCGGCGGATCAGGTCCGAGTGGAGGTCGTCCTCCCGGGCCTTCTCCGCCGCCTCCTTCTGCGAGATTACCTCCTCGCAGAAGGTTGCGACCGCTATAAAACAACTGTCGCTACCGGCCATGGAGCGAATTACGGCCGGTAGCGAGAGATCCGCTCCGATGACTGCAGTGAGGGCCCGGCGCTGCGTCGCCCATGCGCGGCAAACCGCCAGCGTGTGCTGGGCCGAATCCTCACTGCAGTCGCAGTGGTGGCAGGCGGGACTCGATTCCCTCCTAGCGACCGAGTACAGGTACTTTCCGAAGCAACCGTGCCCGGAAAGCACCTGCGTCAGCCGGAAGGAAAGGGTCCCGTGCTGCCGCCCTGCCCACTCGGCGATGACCGGCTGGAGAGCCTCCACGGCGGCGAAGCCAGCGCGTGGAGTCTCCAGCCGGAACGACCATCTCACCATAGTGGCTCGGCGAGCGGCTTCGCGCCACTCGCGCACGTCTTCGGGCGGAGGGCGAAATCCGCTCTCCGCCCGGAAGTCAGCCACTCGCCGATAAACTTCGGCGAGCACTTCCGCCTCCAAATCCCACGGGGGTGTTCCGGCCAAGGCGCAAGCCGCCTCGGTGGACACCGTGCGGTATCCGCGTATGGCTCTGACCGCCAATATCCTCTGGGGGCGCCAGAGGCGCGCCCTATTCGAGGCGGTCAGAGCCGCCACCCACACCGGTGCACCATAAAGCGCCATGGACCGGACAACCCCCGCGTACAGCCGCCTCGTGGGAACACTGGCCCCGCCCAAATTGGGCAAAAGTCGCCCTAGGGCGGAGGCAGTGTCCACCAGCTTCGGACCAAGCTGTCGGAAGTGCTCGTCGAAGAGCCACCTACCGTCTAGGACCAGACCCAGGTACCTCATCTGGGCCCGGACCGGTACGAGGACCGAGCCGACCTCGATTGAGGCGCCGGCGGGTGGACCACGACGGGGCCCATGAAATAATAGGGCCTCCGTCTTATCCAGGGCCACCCGCAAACCCAACGCCTCAATGCGCCCGACCACCAGGGAAACTCCCGTGGCGGCCAGGCGCGCCGCCTCCTGGAAGTTAGCTCCCCGGGCCGTGAGCAAGGTGTCATCCGCGTAGCAGATTACGCCCAGCCCGGGGGGGAGACGCCCTCGTAGGGCCCAGTCGTACCCGATGTTCCACAGGAGAGGTCCTAGGACAGACCCCTGCGGAACACCGCACGACATGGCCCTGCGTCTCAAGACGCCATCTCGGTCCTCGTACATGACGGTTCGCTCCTCAAGATAGTCTGCCACCAGCAGCTTCAGGTACTCCGGCACTCCGTGGTAGCGGAGCGCTTCCCTGATGCAGCTGAATGGCAGACTATTGAAGGCGTTGGCGATGTCCAAGGACACCGCCAACACCACCCCGCCGCAGCTCACGGCCTCCTCGGTCACGGCCCTAAGGCGCATCACGGCATCGATCGTCGAACGCCCCTCTCGGAAACCGAATTGGGCGTCCGACAGATCGGGGCCAACCTCGCAAAGGTGCCGGACGATGCGGGCAGAGAGCACCCTCTCAAAAAGTTTACCCGCCTCGTCCAGCAACACGATAGGCCTATAGGCCGCGACCGAATCGGCAGGCCGTCCCGGCTTCTGCAGCAGGACCAGCTTCCCGCATTTCCAGCGCTCAGGGAAGCGTCCGGACGCCAGGCTAGCGTCCAACACCCCCCTGAGGTGGTCCGACATGTAGTCGAGGGCTCGGGCCATCACTCGGGCTGGAACCTCGTCCGGCCCGGGGGCGGTGTTCTTGGATCGAATCCGTAGAACAGCCGCCCCCAACTCCGATTCCCTGACGGGCGGAACATCACCCTCGCTGCCTCCGTCGTCTCCGGCTGATGCAGCCATCGACGGGGGCGTGTGCTCCGCCCGCTGCGGGAAAGAGGGTTGGGCCTCCGGTAACCTTACTCGGTGAAAGGTTGATACCTAAGGCTTTGGCACAAATAGCCGGGCCCATACGTGTACCATATACCTACAGTACGTGCCAAGGCAAGGCTTATCCACGGCCAATATTTAAATACTAATTTCATAAAAAATCTCCAACTTTGAATACCTCTAAGTTGATCGAAGGACTTGTATTCTCCACCAGCTTCTTTAGGGAGGGCTTTTAAAGGCAGATAATCGTCAAAGGTACGAGCTCCAATCTGGTGTATTTTCAGCACGTCAAGCAATTCCTTCTTCATAAACGGCTTGAGCATCATCAGGAGCCGGTCCATGAACGACGGCGCATTCAAGAAGTGTAAACCTTTTATTTTTAACAACGTGGCTTCCTGGAAAATAGTAATAAAAGCTTTGGTCAGTTATTTTATCACACGACTTGCTAAATTCGTGTGGTGGCGGATTCAAAATACGAAGTGTCACCACCCCTATTCAACCCGTGGGTGTCAACAGTTATCAATTTAATTGTTTTCATAACTTAAACTGTGTCATCTTAAAAATTTGCATGCTATTTTAATATAGCAAAATGTGTCTTACAAAACCACCTACTGTCACTACCACATTTTATGCAAATAAATTCCCCTCGGATATCTGAGAAGATCAGTCGTGCATTTAGTTAACTTTTGGAAACGGGCGGTTGTAGATCGGCACAGGCATATCATAGATTTTGTATAAGTTTAATTTTTATTATATTTATTTGCTGACTATTTGACAAAACAGAGATTGTTGCTTTTGTGTGTTGATCTATGACTTTAAGTCTACATAAAAGACGATTTCAAACTGTAATTTTTTATGAAATAAAGAGAATTTGAGTTAGTTGCATTTCTTCAATTAAATTAGATAAATTGAAATATGTATGGTCATACTATAGAATTATTGGACTTCATTTGACGAACCCAATCCGCTGATGCTAGTTAAGTTATGATTGTCTTGAGGAATGGCGCCGTAAGCTGAAATACCTACAGGTTTTTTACCTAGTTTGTTAACGGAGGTTATCACAGGTTTAATATGTAAGTTATACTGGTTTTATGTTGATCAAATTGTATTGTATTTGTTTTGGTACAATAAATATTAATATTATTAAAATATCATTATTATAACAGCACTGCAAAAATAAGGGAAAACTTGAAACAAACCCTATACCAACTCGTCTGGCCAGCGTGAGGTTTTGGCCTACTATAGTAGGCCAAAACCTCTATTCTAAGGAGAGGCCTTTGTCCAGCTAGTGGACTACTAAAGGCTGTTGATGAATTGCCAAGTGACGTGTCTGACATGCTTCTGTCTATAGGTATATGCGTGAGGGTGCGTACGTATGTAAGTAAATTCAAATTCACACAATATTAAACAGTCAACACTACCTTAGATTGGCAAAGGCATATAATAGATTTTCTATGAAATTAGATTGTTTCTATTGTGTGTGTTTATTTACTACTACGAGTATACCTATATTCAACATAAGAGACGATTACAAATACTTTACTTTATGATGACTTCGACTTATTTACACATCATGCACATTTGGTGCATTGGCGGACTTAATGCCTAAGGCATTCTCTACCAGTCAACCATTGAGTGATGCAGAGAAAACAGGAAGTAGGTGCATTTTAGTTACAGTTAATTTAGACATTTAATATCGTATAATATACTATGTACAAAATCATATAATAAATACACATATACAAATCTGTCATATACTACACCTATAGATATTAACATTACACATAAGTACATACCTTGTGATACATAAATACTGTATAAAAGTATATAAATACATACATACAATAACAATTTTGTATTAAAATGAAAATAAATCATGAGCAAGTTGATTCTGCCAGTTATCGTTGCGTGAAGTAACTATGTAGGTATATGAAAGCTGATACCACCTTAAGTAGTAAAATAATAACAGCAAGGTAACCTGTAAATAGTATAAAAATTGCTGTATGCTCTGCACATCTAGTTTGGTGATGTGGCCGACCTTTATTCTGTCCAGGTCGAAAATCAACAAGAATCCCGGCCAGGTACCTTCCTCGTACTGCCATAGGTCCAAAATCATCATTACAGATCTGAAAGTAGAATTCTCTTTATGATGGCTACCATGGCCTCACAGAAAACCGGTGTTATTGGCAGGTTGTTGTTGTTGTAAGTGTTCATGGGAGGCGGTAAGCACTTATCATCAGGTGAACCGCATGCTGTCCAAGATTAATTAATAGAAAAATGTTTCTGTACACCACCAATAAAAAAAAGAACTATTTTTTAAATTCGAAATCACTTCCACAGATGGCACGGGAGCAAAAGTAAATATGTTACTTAATAATTTGTTAGTAGTAATAAATAGTAGGCCAAAACCTCCTTTCTAAGGAGAGGCCTATGTCCAGCAGTGGACTATTTAAGGCTGTTGATGAATTTGTTTGAAATATTGACAAATAAGCGTTCATTTACTGCGTACATACCGGATCGACTTTGAGAATAGAAAATTCTTCGGATCATAATCTAACAGTCGGCAGTAGAATACCGCGTCACCGTCTCTTGACCGAGTTGGCAGAGGCTGCAGTAACCTGTAACATACAAAACAAGTTTAAACCTATTTTAAAGACGTTTAAATAACATTAAAAACAAAAAATAGTTCATCATCATCAACAGCCTTTAATAGTCAACTGCTGGGATCGGGATGGCGCCACTTGCCGTGTAAACAAGTGCTCCGTGATTATAATTTGCTTGCTGCTGGCAAAGCAGCAAGTGGATATAGCCCTGCTCAGCGACCCACCTCAGACCAGTAGACAACTTCAAAATGGGTGGATACTATGTCTACCGGGAGGACCAACGCTCGCCAAGAGGGACTGCCTACAGGGGATTAGCAGTCCTGGTCAAGAGGAAAGTCGTCCACCAAGCACTACCAGTACCGACATTGCAGTCTGCGTACGCCCTGGGCGTAGAGGTCTGCATCGGAAGCCAACCTACCCGTGTTTTCGCATTCTACAGGCCGCCGGGGCAGCGCCTCGCAGTGGCTGACATACACACCCTGTTAGACTCGGCGCTACCTACAATAATCGCCGGCGACTTTAATGCGAAACACACGGCGTGGAACTCAAACATCATATGCCCAGAAGGCCGCCGCCTTCTAGATGATGCAGACCGCAACGAGTACCAGGTGCTAGGACCAGAGGTCCCGACACACTACCCGTACTGCGTAGCCCATACACCGGACGTCATAGATATAGCCGTCATCCGCGGCATCGACGCGGCTGTGTATCTTGACGTCCAGGACGATCACCTCATCTCAGACCACCAGCCGGTGTGTCTGACTCTAGATGACATCCCCCAAACTTTCCGACTATCTCCTCGTTCACGCCAAGACTGGCGGGTCTTCACCGATTATATGGCAGAGCACTCGCCCTCCTTCCCAGTGGAGACACCCAACGACGTCGAAAAGCTAACGACGGATCTCAGCGCGGTCCTACAGACCGCGCTTCGAGAGTCGAAGCTCGATGCCACTACCGGAAGGAAGTCTTTCCAGCTCCCCGCCTACATCCTGGTGATGATCGAGAGGAAGAGGAGACTGCGCCGACAATGGCAGCGCGTCCGATGTCTGACCATGAAGTCCCAGCTCAATGCTCTGGCTGCGAAGGTCTCTGCCGCGTTGGCAACAAATGCGGCGGAGTCCTGGCAACGCACTATTGAGCGAGCTAGTGAAGATTGGTCGGGCATACACCGCCTGTGTCGCCAACTTTCCGGGAAACCAGCTCCGATTAGGCCCCTGATGGCCGGTGACGGCACCCCACGCTACCGTGCCGAGGACCGAGCGGAGATGTTCGCCGACTTCCTGGAAGCGCAGTTCCGACCGAATCCTGCCCACAATGTACAGCACGTGGCAGAGGTCGAGAGGAAGCTCGAGTTGTACTTTGAGCAGCCGATAGCCCCGACTGAGGACCCTGTCATCATCTCCCCTGGTCAAATCCAGCGGCTGATTCACCAAACGCCTCTTCGTAAAGCGCCCGGTCCCGACCGGGTTACCAATGAAGCCCTGCGTCACCTACCTCCGCGAGCAATCGCGACGCTGACGCGTCTCTTCAACGGCATCCTCCGCACCGGACACTTTCCCACCGCATGGCGACTTGGCAGAGTCATCATGCTGCCCAAGCCGGGGAAGAGTATCCTCTTACCGGGAAGCTATCGCCCCATTACTCTCCTCTCAACGACGTCGAAGTTGTTCGAGAAATTGCTACTGCTGCACATGACACCACACCTTCAGCCACGCGACGAACAGTTCGGATTTCGCGCCGAACACTCCACGACGCACCAGCTTGCGAGGGTACTGCATGACATCACGGTTGCACGCAACAAGCGCGAGCGGGTTGTAGCAGTCTTCCTCGACATGGAGAAGGCGTTCGACCGCGTCTGGCACGCCGGCCTGCTGTACAAGCTGTCCACATCTACTACTCCCCGCCGAGTAGTGAAGATTGTGGCCACCTTCCTGCAGGACAGACGCTTTCAAGTGGCAGTTGAAGACGCCCTGTCCACAGAGCGACTGATCTTTGCCGGTGTGCCGCAGGGAAGTTGCATGTCTCCCGTGTGCTACTCTTGGTACACAGACGATATCCCCGTTACCGACGGCGTGAAACTCGCGCTGTACGCCGACGACGCTGCCTACATCGCGACGTCACTAAAAGGTGCCAACGCTACTACCAAGATGCAGCGCACTCTAGACGCACTTCCCAGCTGGCTGAAGGACTGGAGACTGACGGTCAACGTGGCGAAGACTCAGGCGATCTCCATCGGAAGCATGACCCTACCACAGCTGAAGCTCATGGGCCAGAATATCGAGTGGTCCGCGACGGTGAAATACCTCGGCGTGACCATCGACCGCACCCTCTCTATGAAGCCCCACGTCAAAAATGTCGTAGCCCAGGTTCGTGCCGCACGCTCCCTTCTGCGGCCCGTACTATCGTCCCGATTGCCGCTCCGTGCTAAGCTCGGTGTGTACAAGGCGTACATTCGCACCCGACTCACATATGGTGCTCCGGCCTGGTTCGCGCTCGTATCCGAAACGAACCGACGCCGGTTGCGTGCGCAACAGTCGCTCGCACTACGCACCCTTGCCAACGCCCCTCGCTTTGTGCGGAACAGGACGATATCCAGGGATCTGCGCGTGGAGAGCCTGGACGATTTCGTGAGACGCTTGAGCACAAACTTGTTCGTGCGTGCTGACGGCTCGCAAGCCCGCCACCTGCGGGAGCTTGCGCCCTATCATCGTCGACCGCCGGACAGGCATGGCCTGCCGCGAGACTTAGTCTCCGTGGCAAACCCTACTGGATCAACCACAACACCCGACCTGATGCTGGCTGATGGGCGCTCCTCGGGGTCATTATCCCTCGGAGCTCGACCTCGCCAAGCACAGGGGGATACACTGGACGAAACCCGGGCGTAGCTAGTGAGCTGTTTGTCTGCGGGGCCCACCCGCACTGACTTGACCTCATTAGCCACGCTCCCCACCGGACTAATCACCCCCCGGAACTACCAACAGGCCCATCCGGGCCCAACCCAGTGACCCGCCTGTAGTGGCAGGCGGCGCGGAAAACCACTTAAACAGGCCGTGGCCTGGAGAAGTCACCCCGAGATCCTAGCTGGGGTCTACGAGAAGAACCTCTTAAGATTATAATTTGCTAAAAAATAGTTAATTTAATGTAACGAGAACGACATAGTGATATATGAAAACTTTAATTGCCGATAAACATTAACTAACGTTATCTCAGTGTTGTGAAAACATTTAGTGACTAAAATATTAAAAACAAAAATAACATCTAATGGTAACGATCATAAACTGTCCTAAAACAAAATGGTATTTTACAATAGTGAACTTTCTCAATAGTTACTAACTTTTATACGAACTTAGAAGTTATAAGTGTTTACATAAAAAAGTGCATTAGTATATAAAACAGCAAAGTAACGGTTAGAAAAAAAAATATTTTAAAAATTTCAAATTAAGTGCCAAATCGTGCCATAGACTAAAAAGCGCGGATCGAGTAGCTAATCATTATTTGGGCAAGAAGTGCAATATAACCTCGCTAGAGGGCACTACATGAGTTGGCACTACAAAAATAGAGTTCTGCCATCTTTGAGAACATACGAGAACTACTTCGTCTATTTGACAACCTGGAAAGATTCGACAACAGACTGCGATAAAGATTGTCAACAGTATCATAAATACGATAATAGGGGGCGCAAAGCATAACAGGTGTTGTGCATAATGGGGGATAAGATTATACAACTGGCTTGTAACATTATCTTGGCGATAAGCGAAGGAAAGACTGTATCAGCTGCCAATAAAAGAATAATAAAGGAAGCCGCTGACGATATCATCACCACCTGTCAAAACACTCCTTCCGCTACTGTTACCGCCAATTCTTGTCAACCAACTGTGTTTCCTGAAGAAGCCTTAGACCAACTCAAAAAGGAACTAATACATGAGATACACACCACAATTATAACTACTCTAAAACATTCTAATAAACAACAATCTCCCGCTCAACCTACAACTACCACCGGCGCCAGCTACGCCAGTGTCACAAGAGCCCAGTTCACAAAGAAACCAGCACTCATAATTAACGCAGCCACACGAACATCTGCATCCTCATCCCCATCCACAACCAACAATCAAAGTACTATTGAGGAACTAAAGACCCAGATTACATTTAAAGACAAAACCTACGCTCCATCCAAGATCCAACCTATAACCAGAGGAAGGGTATACCTGGAATTTAACACCACTCAACAACAAAAGGAAACTCAGCAACTCATCAACCAAACAAGTAATCTGAAGGCAGAAGAAGCTAGACGTCGTCCGCCACTTGCCATCCTCAAGGGCATATACAAGGAAACCAACAAAGAAGAACTAACTAAAATAATCTGCCAACAAAACTCCATTCCCATCCCTGATATCCGCCTCTGTTTTCTTACCAGCAATAGATCTGAAAAACTTTACAACGCAGTTGTTGAATTAACCCCAACAGCATATCATAAATTAATCCAACAAAACAGAGTAGCAGTTAACTTCCAACAAGTTCACATAGAACCCTTTTCGAGATTCACGCAGTGCAGAAAGTGCCTCCAGTTCGGACACTCACAAAATAAGTGCACAGCGACTATCCACCCTTGCGCCGTCTGCGCCGACGAGAACCACCAAGCAGCTGAGTGCCCCCACAAGACAAACAAACAGTTCGTTTGCTACAACTGCACAAAATATAACAGCAAAACAGGAAGTAAATTACCCACTAATCACGCCGCCAACAACCAAGCTGCCTGTCCTAGAATACGCCTCACCAAGGAAAAAATTGAAGAGACTATTGACTACGGAACAGGTATACCACCACCAACATCACAACAGCCATCAGGATCAATAGACCAATTACCATTCAGTGTGTGAGCTCCCTTAACGGATAGCAATAATTCTTTGTGCCGCAGGATCATAAATTAACTATTTCATATTATCGCGTAATTGTTTCGACTAAACTAATTAATAAGTTTCTTTTATTTGTTATGTATAACTGTGTACAAAATA